GTTGCGTGTGTGTGCGCGTCAGCGCGCACGGGCGCCACCAGCACTTTACATGAAGCAGCAGAGCGGGCGTGTTCAGCCATGTGAGACGTCCAGACTTTAATCCGTACTCTTGGAGTGAAGCAGGAGCAGAGAGATAGACAAACGCCGACGGGCTCTTTTCTTTTCATCAAAAATTAAAAGTGCTTTATTTCCCTCTTTGCTCCCACGATGCCTCTCTTCTACTTTTACTTTAGCTCAAATGAAGAAGCGTTTATTTGAGTTTGGCCGTTCTTTTTTTACCTCTGCAGAAGTCTGTTGTTTCAAAATAACAATGTTGACCTTAGCTTTGTCAGCGGTTGAGACAGTGAAGGACACAAAGACATATTTGTCCAAATTCTGCCACAAAAAGTTCTTGAGACGACGTTCAAGATCAACCTGATGAGTGGCATATTGGAGCCAGATATAGTAGAGTTTGATTTGACATTAAAAGGTGGATTTTAGGAACGTCACACATTAAATGAAATCTTAATGTTTGTAATTTGCTGTAAACAAACTTACAGGATCTGAGAAGACCTCATTTTAGGACCTGTATTTGCTCCGTCTTTCTAAATGTTTTTCAAACCAGTGGCACCAACAGACAATTTATTTCAATTTCCTTTTGAAGTAACTGAGCTTCTCCTATCCAGCCTTGATTATCTTCAAGACCCCCAACCCCTATGTTTTGAACCCAGTGGTAGTTCCACACACTGCTGACCCCCAACCCCTATGTTTTGAACCCATCCTAGCAGCACGATTGCTGAGGTTTGTCACTCCCTTTCATCACTAAGCCACAGTTTTCCATGGTTCACTGTAAGACTGCAGCACTGCAGCTCTGTAGCACCATCATCTTTTGGATTGTTTTCATTTCCTTCAAGACATCAGACAGCGGAGCCATCGTCTTGATGGGTTCCTCTGCCACTCACTCAAGAAATTACAAAACGCCAAACTCCGAATATGAAAACCCAGCTCCAGGTTACTGGAAATAAAGGAAGTGCTCACGGCCGGTGTTTGTAGCTGCTGTTAATCCCTAATCACTGGGTCTTTAGTAACGGCACGAGTCACGGGGTTCTCAGGGGACCCGGGGTTGAAGAGTCAGACGATGCCTCCGTTTGGGTGAGTGCAGGGTTACCATTGATTCAGCTTTTGACTGCCTCTTGATGATGATGAGGTTGTAAGTGATGCATTAGTGAAATTCTGGCTCCGGTTCTGCTCCTTCCTGAACAAGCAGTGAATGTGAATCAGCCTGCACAGAGATGGGATGTTACAGCAGAGGTTCAGAATGCATTATGAGCCCTGAGTCAACTCTTCCTCTGCCTCTCATTCCAGCACTTGATACCAATATGTGGGGTAAGAGTGTGAATTGATGAAGGTAGTTTCATTCTGGTCTGAGACAGGTCTTTGACACTGAGAACTCTGGGTTATTTCTTCGTCGGCTGTGTCTTCTGCCACTCGCTGCATCAGCAGTCTGCTCACCACCTGCAGCACTCAGTCCACACTTGTCTCCAATTTGGTCTGTGTCTCTTCTGGGTTATGACACAGGCTCTGCTGTGTGAGCTGCATCCTCAAACCCAGGCCTGTCTGAGTCACTGTCTTATCAGAGTTAAAGCCCCGGGGAGACGGTGTTGAGCTCTGTGTCTTTAATCAAGGAAAACCTGTGGTCTGTGTGAAATACGGGGTTGCTCAGGTCGTATACAATGGATAATTAGAGATTCCCCTCCCAGGCCTGAGCAGACGCTGCTGATATTGACGCGGTGCCTGGTGTAGTTCAGCCGTCATTAGGCTCCAAGGTTATTGTCCCAAAACAACACTGGAATCATTGCTAATGCAACTCATTTTGTATTCAAAATGAGAGCCTCTTGGCCGAAGCGTGACAAGTGTTTGCTAAATGTGGTCAATCTGGTGAATCTACTCAACAGTAAAATAAAAATAATGTTCACCGCCTGAACCACAGAAACCCTCGCTGGAATTAGCCCAGATAATGTGTTTGGAGCAGCAGGAACGTCGGACGAATGTGAAAAGTGAAGGTGATGATGGAGAGTAACTCACACAGAGAACACGTGGTTCATGGTGTGTGAAGTGTTTTGAGTGAATTTTACTGTGAAAAGTGTAATGTAATTTTATCTAATGTGTGTAGTGCATTAATATTAATGTGTAACCAAACAAACCTACACGTACAAATGGTAAAAAGAAATAGCTAAAGACGAGGCAATAAAATAGCAAATGGTAAAAAATAGCTAAAGACGAGGCAATAAAATATAAAACGTTAACGTTTAATTATATTATATTATGACAAATTACATCGTATCATATCATATATCCTATTAAAAACAAATGGTGTATGTTGTTTTATATGATATTATGTCACACTGATCTCTCTCCTCTCCTCTCGTGTTCTCAGACTGAGTCACTGGAGGACAAAATGTCACGCTGCACAACTGAAACACAGATGGCCGAGAGTTTTGCTGGAGCCGTCACTCGCTGCTCAGTCACAGGTTAGCATGCCAACCAACTCGGAGAAAACTGTCACTGCACCACAGTCAGCTCTGGTGCACCAACCTGCTGTCTGAGGCCGACCTGCTCCATGTGGTTATGTTCTAAAAACCTCTCGAAAGAAGGACAGGATGGGAGGAGAAACGCGTTTGACGGTGTTTTCTAGAACATTCTGTGTTTTACTTTGACATTTATTGGACTAACGTTGGCTGAGGGGGAGTAAACAAGTCTGTGGCAGATGTATGGTCTGCATGTCTAAGTAGGTCTTAACAACAGTTAGTCCACGTGCATGCAGTTGACCTGTAGACCTGGAGCTGGTTGAGCTGGTGCATTTAGCTCACACGGGCAACTGGAGCTGCCCCTGGTGGACAGTCTGGTGAATGTGAATATTTCAGTCTGTATATGAAGATTAACGGCAGTTTCCAGTCAAAGATTGAAGCCATACGGCAGACATTATAAGAACCAGCGTCGCTCAGACACAAGTCATGTTACTGTGTTGGTCAGGTGGTTGATTAGACGTGAACCATCAACAGATGGTCGTTTGTGCTGCCCAACAACTGATTTCTAATATTTTTGATGATCCCTTGGCTTTGGGTCAATGTGGTGAAATCAATTATCCAATGACTGATTAACACAAACCTCATTACAGATGTTGATGTGTCCCTGAGGATGAATTGAAGATCTTTGATATTTCCATGACCTTCACGTAATGGCCTGTCATCAATTGAACATATCAGTTTCCCCCGAACAGTCATCGATCCAGAATTCCAGAAAAAAAAATTAATAAAATTATTATTATTATTATTATTATAGTTATACTCAAATCACACAAATGTAAAATATTGTGATTGGCTACAGCTCCCATTGCGACTCTGGGAAAGATTTAAGCAGAAGACAGAGAAATGATCAGGAAACCTGTCGCCCTCTAACATTTCAGCACAATGGACAGAGACAGAAAACTAACAGCTGTCATTCAGCACCACCAGTAATGGACAGCGACCAGCAGAGAGGGCAGGTGAACCGTCTGGTTCCATATCTTTGTTATCTGCAATAAAATACAGATAAAGTAGACGTAGTGGTCCATTACAGCCGTGAAGGAACATGAAAAATGTACTGCAGTACACAGCGTACACTAAAAGCCCTCATACACAATGATAAATCATGGAGCTA